TGCAATACACTTGGACGCATGGTTCGACTCCCTTACATGACCAACTCTTTCAAAGGCGACGACCAACTGACAAGATAACGCAAGTACCTACTTGAGACACACGGTCGCTCCGCAAACAACCACTACGACGACGACGGGGACGACACATAACCGCCATTTCTCACAAGCAAGAAACATATACCAACCTACAGACCACTACAACGCACTGATACACCAAGCGAGAACTACGATCCGAGCACAGCGACTCCACTCAGAGCTCAAGTACAGAAAAAACAAAAACAACTATCCTGGCGAAAGACCCAGCCATATGCAGTTGAGAATACCGCGGTGGTGCGTAATCATCCTCCTCGGTGGAGCTCCCCTATGGGGCACGACACGTGTGAATGGTGTGTCGGAACGTGTGCGGTGGTGCCATGCGGGCGCTGCCACTGGGGCCTAGGGTGCAGCTCCCTCTGGGGCCACGACACGTCCGGGGGGCGTGCCGACACGTGCGCGGGTGGTGCCATGCGGGCGCTGCTACGGGGGCCTTCGGTGGAGCTCCCCGTGGGGTCCGGAACGTGCGAGGGGTGTGCCGAAACGGGAGCGGCGGTGGCATGCAGGCGCTGCCTCTGCGGCCTTCGGCGGAGCTCCCTATTGGGGGCGCGTGGCGCGGTGGTGCCATGCGGGCGCTGCACTGCCATTGGGGCCTTGGGTGGGGGGGGCTCCGTATGGGGCCACGGAGCGCTGTACTGGGTGCGCGGAAGGGATGGACAGGCGGAGGGCCGAGGCACGTGTGGGAGGAGGGGAGGAAGGAGGAGACGCGGGGCGCTGTGTTGTCAAAACGAAGGCCCAACACCACCCATAGGATCGGTTGGGAAGTAAAGCGAGATCACCAACGATAACCTGGACAAGAAATTCGTGTACATATCTCTCTGGCTCGGACAATGGATGGGCGTATACGACCGAATCCAGCCACGCTGCGGTAGCATACCTGCCAGACATCAACCACAACTACTTCCAGTTGCTGAACCAACGCCTTAACAGCAAACTTACTGTATGGAAACAGATGAGTTGGCACACCAGCATTTCTAGTCATTGGTCCCGACTTCACTGCGACCTCCCATTCTATCGCTACATCCAATACATGCGCGACGGGAAGCCATTTATACTCGGAGACGCACAGGACCTCGAAATACGACACCAGCGTTTCTTAGCACTTGCATGGACATAGCGCTCCGACGACATCGACAAAATGGTGCGACTTACAAAGCCCACTTCAACCACGACGGCACAAAAAAAGGTCCTGAAGGAGACCCTTACAAGAAAAAAACACGGGGGATTCCTGGAGACTCCTGAAGGTTCCCGAGGAGTTCCAAAGATGCCTGAGGATCCCCGAGGAACGCCGCGGATTCCCAAAATCTCACGAAGGATTCCCGAAGATTCCCGAGGATCCTAAAAGATTCCTGAAAATACCAGAAGGACTCCCGAAGATTCCGAAAGATTACTATGAACTCCTGAGAGATTCCGGAAGATTCCTGAATGATCGGAGGTTGGGGGGTGAGATCGAAGTATAACGGAGAGCCCCCCTACCGGGAAATCGATTCGGTTTCGTGTTCGTGCCGTGCGTGCGGGCGAGGCGAAGAGGCGTGGGCAGGGGAGAAGAAATTCTCCTGTGGCTGGGCCGCGGCTGGACCAACAAATTCTCCGCCCGGCAACCGGTGGCGCGCGGTGTCCCGGTGTCCCGCTGGTGTCCCGCTGGTGTCCCGCCGGTGTCCCGTCGTTGTCCCGTGGTCCCGTGGTGAGATCGACAGTGAGATCGATAGTGAGATCGATAATGAGACCAATAGTGAGATCGATAGTGAGATCTATAGTGAGAGATCGATAGTAAGATCTATCGTGAGATCGATCGTGATAGCGATAGTGATGGCGATAGTGAGATCGATTGTGAGATCGATCGAGTGGGATCGATAGCGAGATCGATAGTGGAATCGATAGTGAGATGAATAGTGAGACCGAAAGCGAGATCGATAGTGAGATCGATAGCGAGATCGATAGTAGGATCGATAGTGCGATCGGTAGTCAGGACAACAATCACCACTCCTCATCACCCGCAGGGTGGTCTTATAGGTAGAAATTCTAGCTAGGATCATGGCCAGCCTGTCTGTCCAGCAAATTCTTCAATCTGGCGGCTGTCTAGCAAGGCCAGTCTGGCGACGATGCCAATCTGGTGCAACCTGGCGCTCGCCACAATCTGGCCAATCTGGCGACACAACCAATCTGGCAATCTACCAACTGACGCAATCCGCCGCGCCCGGACGAAATAGAACGCGCACGTAAAGCCGAACGGCCGCAAATCATAAGCACGAAAAACAACTGCCCGCAAAAACATCGGATTGAGAAGTTTCGCATCAGACCGGGCTGCGCTGGACTGGTGCCGGAGTGGAATTCACAGGAGACTGATGCCTCATTGGCTTTGTGGATGCCATGACAATGGACAATCTAACAGTCCCATCATTGAATTTAAAATGTGTTTAAACTGTCGGGAACATGTTTTTTACATGCGTGTTTACAAGTGTAAAACAAGTCTTTACATGTTTTATCTGGCAACACGCTTCCTCTCCAATGATCGTCCTCCACAACATCGGCTCCAGAGCCCAAATCCAATATGCCCACCTGGCCTCCGGCTACCCAGTTTTAGCTATGTGGTGCAGGCTACGTCGTGCTGCAAGATGCACGGTGCGGGGGGGCGCAGGTGCAGGCTGAGTGGTGCAGTCCATGTCGTACAAGCGTGATAGTTGAAGCAGTCTGTGCGATGCTGCAGTATGCGTGTGTGATGCAAGCTATGCTTAGGTCGTGCATGCCCTCCTATAGACAGGTTTCTGGAGAAACGGAGCAGGCATCAAACAATGACCAGAGCTAGTCAAAAGAGCACGGAACATCGTCCCGAAGGGGGTCGAACGATAACCAAAGAAAGTCACGATAGCCAAACTGCTGTTGCTATCACTGAACCTTCCTCCTTTAAGAGTCGGCGGTGGACAGACCTCCCTTTAGTAAACCTCCCCTTAGTGAAAACGGCCTGGGACCGAAACCGACGGACCTGGACCCGCAAAAATGACGGCCGCGACGCCCCCTCGCGAACCGAAAACGGCCCATTCCTCAATCGACGCGTCAGGGTAGGAGGTCTGTCCCCCCCCGAAAACTGCTGTTACTATCACGGAGCCTCCCTCCGCAAGAGTGGGATGCACAGAGACATACTAATACTATGTGTCCGCCTTGGAGGCGCGCGTCCGACCCGAACATATAGTATACCCATCTTGTAGTATATCGTTTCCCGAGCGGTGTGGCCAGAAAGCGCCCGCCATGACGCGTATACTATAAGATTTCTCGGTGCGCGCGTCGCCCCTGAGGGGGCGACGCACATATAGTATAAGTATGTTGGGGTGACGCCGACAAGAGGGCCACGCCCGACTTGAAAAAAAGCTGTGTCCTGCCAGCGCGCAGGGCGGCGACCGAGCAGTGCCGGCGGCCTCCGGGCGGAAGCCCGGCAGACCCTTGACAACCCTCCCAGGGCAGTTTTTTAATACATCGGATTTTTTATCTAAGACTTTAAACTAATACATCGGTTGTTTATACATCGGTTTTTTATACATCGGATTTTTTATACATCGGATTAATGTAGGAATAAATCTATGCATGAACTCGTCGTTGTTTTTCATACTGGATCCCTGAATACAGACCCTTGGACACCCTGAAGTCGGCGGTGGACAACCCTCCCTTCAGCTAACCTCCCCTTGGTGAAAACGGCCCAAGACCGACACCGACGGACCTGGACCCGCAAGAATGACGGCCGCGACGCCCTCCGCGAGCCGAAAACGGCCACTTCACGAATCGACGCGTCAGGGTAGGAGGTCTGTCCACCCCCGACCCTTCAGTGCAGGCACTGAGCGCCTATCGGCGGCGTCCAAAGAGGGGGGCGTCCAAGAGGGGGGGGGCCGGCGCCAATCGTGCCAGGCGGCATGTGCGCGGCCCGGGGGGGGCGGCGACGTACAGGGCAGGTTTTAGTACATAGGACTTGTTTTTAAATATAGGATTTTAAATGCATGACCAATGCACGAATAGAATAAATCTATGCATGAACTCATCGCTGTTTTTAATACTGCATCCCTGCATGTTGTAATACATGACCCGTGCGCAGAGCAGGTCTAAAAACGGCATCGTATTGAAATGCGAAGAAGCGCCATCAATTCTGGGGAGATACCACGGCCCCCGCCAGGATGTCCCCCCTGGTCACCACCCCCCCTCGCGACCGCCCCCGAGCATCGTGCGGCGGCACGGCGGCAACGGGCGGCCACCGGGCAACAAGCCGCAGGGCCCGGCCGGTGCGCGGGGCGGCGACGCTGCGGCGAGGCGACGCGAGGGCCCGCCCGCTCGCCGGCACCGTCTGGGGAGAAGCGGAGGCCCGCCCGCTCGCCAGCGCCCCCGCCCGCACGCCCGCCCGCTGGCCTCCGCTGGCTCGCTCGGAGGCTCGCTTGCATGCCCGACCGCCGCAATCGACACGCCCACCGGTGAGACCGAATCGGGATCGCCTGCTGCTTGTGCTCTTCGTCCTCCTCGCCCACGTCCTCGTCCCACGCATCCTCGTCCGCGTCCTCCTCTTGCCCCCTCGACCTCCACGCCGTCCTCGCCCTCGACAATATCCTTGCCCCCCTCGCCTTTTTCGTTCTCATGGGCTCTCCTCATCCTGCTCATCCGCTTGCTCCTCCGTCTGCACCTCCTCCATGCCCCCCCCCCCTCATCCCTTCTCCCCCTCCAGCTCATCCAGATCCTCCAGCTCCTCCAGCTCCTCCAGATCCTCCAGCTCCTCCAGCTCCTCCTCCTCCTCCTCCTCGTGTGAGCTCCTGTTCCACACCGCGTGCACACCTCGTCTCGTCCGACCTCCGAGTCCGCGCCGAACAGAATTACAGATGCCATGCAAAGGGTCCCACTCGGCGTAGTTATGGTGTCCCAGCATGTGTTCTATCGCCCCCAATACGACTCATCGGGAGCGCCCTGATTCCAGATCCGCCCTACTTTGGTTTTTTTTCCAGCTTAAAATTGCTTCGGAAATCCACCTATAAGAGGCCGAAAGAGTAGGGCGGAAATTTCTGCACCCAACATAAAGTAGGGCGGAAATCCACAGAAGTAGGGCGGAAACAGCAACAGAAAAGTAGGGCGGAAATTGGCATCAGCGGGGCCTGAAAAGTAAGGCGGAAATGCCAAGCCCTACTTACGATTTTCCCCAAAGTAGGGCGGATCCGGAGTCAGGGCGGTGAACAAAAACGGTCCGACCCCCGGAACGAGAATCACGGGAGCGCGACCAAAGCTGTCCCGTGACCCGTGCCAACTCCGCGTTTCCTGGGGCGCTCTCGTCGTGCTTCCTGCTGCATCGGCGCACTTCCTGGAAGCTCGTTCCATCGACGGCCCGCGTCTGCAATTTGGCAGCATGCCATGCCAGAAACGAGGGGCTCGAGGAGGAAGAAACGAGCAGGAGGAGGAGGAGGAGGAGGCGGAGGAGGAGGAGGAGTAGGAGGAGGAGGAGGAGGAGGAGGAGGCGGAGGCGAGGAGGAGGAGGAGGCGTAGGAGGCGAGGAGGAGGAGGAGGAGGAGGAGGAGGAGGAGTAGGATGCGAGGAGGCTGAAGGAGGAGGAGGAGGAGGAGTAGGGAGGAGGAGGGAGGGGGGAGGAGAAGGAGGGAGGAGGAGGGAGGGAGGGGGGAGGAGGAGGAGGAGGAGGAGGAGGAGGAGGAGGAGGAGGAGGAGGAGGAGGAGGAGGAGGAGGAGGAGGAGGAGGGGGGCATGGCCCATGGCACACCCGAGAATGCCAGCTGCCAGTGTCTGTTCAGGGATGGGTGGGCTGGACCCCGCGGACGGTGAGCCTCCGAGTCGCCGTCCTCATCGTCCTGCGGCCAGACGCGGCCAGGGAGGGAGGGGAGGGGAGGGAGGACAATTAAAACGACGCGAAGATCGGGACAAAATCGGATCGGGGTAACTCGAAATCTCTGAGAATCGGCGGGTTTGGAGGATGTATTGGGCGCCGCGGCCGCTCCAGAGCGTTCCGGAACGCTCTGAGAGCGCTCCGGAACGCTCTGGAGCGATTTATCCCGATCCTAGCCCTGTTTTAGCAATGGAAGGGGGGCAGCGACGAGCAGCAGAGAGAAAAACACCTGGTCCATAAATATACCCCATGGAATCGGGGAACTGTTCTGGTTCCGGATCTGGGTCTGGTTCCGGGTGGAACGGCGGCCGGCGGGGAAAAGGTGAGATCAAATTCAGCTTTTTTGGTCCCGGTTCTGGTGGCCGGCGGGGAGAGGAATCTAGAATCTATCCTGATGCCAGTTGCGGTGCCACTTCCAATTCTGGTTCTGGCGGCCTGGGGGGAAATCTGGTTCTGGTTAAAACTCTGGGTCGCACGGCCGGCGGGGGAAAAGTGAGA